CATTACTCATTACTGTGAATCATTTATTGACTTTATGCAAGATTTTATGAAAGAAAGTGTATGTTGAACCAGTAAAAGCCCGTGAGGTACTTTCATGCTGTTGTATAAAAAGGCTCCAATGGTACTTAAGCAATTTACTACTTAAATAGTCTACTCTTTAAAGTTAAATTGTTTTCTTTCAAGCCAACATTAAATTTTCTGGGATAGTGCTTAGGAGTAGAACAGTACAGCTATATAACCTTGGGACACAATGACCTGATTGCACATGCCTCAGATATTGAGCATCTTTAGATCTGAAAGATTCAGTGCTATCTTTCTCTCACACATATATTGATCATAACAGACATTTTTGCATTCTGTGGTACAGATCTCAGACATTTGAATTTTCAGGTACAGTGGCGCCTCGCTTAGCGATGTAAATTCGTTCCGAAAAATGACTGCTAAGTGATTTCATCGCTAAGCGAAACGCGGTTTCCCGTTGAAATGCATTGAAAATCGGATAATCGGTTCCAATAGAAATGAATTGCCATCCTTAAGCGAAAATCGCCATAGGAAACGTTGCTAAGCAAAACGCAGTTCCCCAATTGAAATGCATTGAAACCTATTCAGTGCATCACAGTGGGGGGAAAATACAACAACAAATTTAAAAAAGTCAGAACAAAGTCAAATTTGGTTAACAAAGGGTTTATTAAGTGCCTTGCGCCGACCCTGTTTGGGATCTTCTTTGCTGTCATGCTGAAGCAGGCCTTTGGAACTGCAACAGAAGGTGTCTATCTCCGGACTAGATCAGATGGAAAGCTCTTTAATCTCACTAGATTGAGAGCGAAGACCAAAGTCCAACTGAAATGCATGCGGGACTTCCTCTTTGCTGATGATGCAGCCATTGTTGCCCACTCTGCTGAAGACCTCCAACAACTCATAAATCTCTCCCTAGATGTCGAGCTGGATAAACGCATTGGGAAAGCAGCTACCATGTTCTCTAGACTCACAAAGAGAGTATGGCTTAATAAGAAGTTGACGGCATACACCAAAATCCAGGTCTATAGAGCCTGTGTCCTGAGCACACTCCTATACTGCAGCGAGTCCTGGACCCTTTGTGCACGGCAGGAGAGGAAGCTGAACACCTTCCATATGCGTTGTCTCCGACGCATTTTTGGTATCACCTGGCAGGACAAAGTTCCAAATAGAGTAGTCCTAGAACGAGCTGGAATTTTCAGCATGTATACAATATTGAAACAGCGCTGTCTACGTTGGCTTGGGCACGTCGTGAGAATGGCTGATGGTCGGATTCCGAAAGATCTCCTGTATGGAGAATTAGTGCAGGGAAGCCGCCCCCGAGGGAGACCACAGCTGCGTTACAAGGACATCTGCAAGCGGGATCTGAAGGCCTTAGGAATGGACCTCAACAGATGGGAAACCTTGACGTCTGAGCGCTCAGCCTGGAGGCAGGCGGTGCATCATGGCCTCTCCCAATTTGAAGAGACACTTGTACAGCAGACCGAGGCAAAGAGGCAGTCCCAAAACAAGCAAAACCAGGGAGCTGGACAGGGGACAGATTGGATTTGTCTCCAGTGTGGAAGGGATTGTCACTCTCGAATTGGCCTTCTCAGCCACACAAGACACTGTTCCAAGACCTCCATACAGAGCACGATACCATAGTCTCTCGAGGCTGAAGGATGCCTACACATATTAAGTGCACTTTATGATTTCAAACATTTTAAACAGTAAACTTTAACTTTATAAATAACAGAAAAACATTTAAAAAACAGCAAACATGAGGCTGTTTAAACCATCGTTAAGCGAAACAGGGGACCCAAAATTTAATCGCTATGCCTAGCATGGTCCCAACCACCGCTAAGCAAAAATCACCCATAGGGACCATCGCTAAACGAAGCGCAAAAACGCTCCGAATAAGTCGTCGCTAAGCAATTTCATCGCTAAACGGAGCACCCCATTAAGTGAGGCACCACTGTAATGGCTTTCTGAAATGGCTTTCAACCATATTTTATGTCTAGTCTGCAACCTTTTAATCTACTCATCCCCCTTGATGATTGACTTTAGTTCTTGTTTTGACTATGTTCTTTGAAAACAGTCTTTTAACAAGTATATTGTCAGGAAAATGCAGGACTAACTCAAGACATTTTGCTGGCTTGAGCAAAAGATTAAATAGCTCCTTGCATCAGAATGGGATTGAATTTTATTCCTACTCTGGCAATAGGATTTTGTTCTCCAACAAATCTGAAGGCAGGAAGGTGGCTTAGGAAATACAGAGAAGGATGCCTACTGCCCATTGTCCCCTGTCATCTCTTTGCCCTTCAACTAGCATTGGTTTCTTGAGGTGACTGCTTCATGTTGTCTAAAGGTAGGGCCAGCTCTGGGAGACTGAGTGCACTGGCTAAGATCCAATTGTTTTGGATCTTTTTACTGAACAATTATACTGCTGTGCAGAGATTGGGGAAGAAAAAGATAGCAACAAACAATGTTCCACAGACTGTGTAAGGACCTGGGCAACAGTGAGTCATGCAATCTGCATCTTTGACATATTGTGATGATAGGCTGACAAGGCTGATAGACCATCTCTACTGAGGGCTCTACTGTGGGCTGAGCATGTAAGAAAAGAGAAGGTTAAATCAATTGCATTCAAAATATGTGAAACAAATGAGAAGTCAAGTTAAAAAAAATTCATTATCCACTTCCCAAAGAAACTGTGCTAAGAAGGTGGTCATATTCACACAATTATTTGTTCAGAGCCTGTATCTCTGTTGTCTCACTGAAAAATATTGTCCACTATACTCTTTCACGTATAAGGAGAATTGTGTAAGTGTTTCCATGCTCTGGAAAGCCCTTTGTTATGTGACTAATCATGCAGGTGGTTGTGCAACCCTCTCGCAAGCAGTAAAAGACCAGGCATGCGAAGGACAGTCTGCAGATCTGGGAGAGGGGAAATGCTTATTCAGTCCCACTTCTGTGATCACATAATGCAACAGAATACTGACTATTGAATAGCTGGAAATTAATGAAACATGTTTGATTGGATTTCAGGGCTTGGCAATTAGAGAGGAAGTTTCTGTAGTGCTGAATGATACAAAATGGCTAATGAACTTGGTGAATAAAGTGAATAACATTCAAGATGGCTTAAAATAAGTTAAGGTTAGAAGTAGTCCCTGGAAAAATAATGCTGCTAGAAATTACAAAGCCCTCGTTATGGTTGATGAGGTGTTCCTCTTCTGCATCTGACAAGGGTCCTGAGGCTTCTGCTGCATTATGTGTGCTGTGCTCGGTTCAAAGATGCATTTTCTTCTGAAGCAGCATGGGGCATGGGCGGAAGATTCATTGTTTTTAGAGACTAAATACCTCTGGAGGAGATTTGTGTGTTTAAAATAAGATCATTTCTGGCAGAATATTGAATATCCCCACCTGAGGGAACAGGTTTGTGTCACTAGGCCTTGACAACTCTCTTGGAAACAAGATGGTGTTTGATAAATTGAGAAAGAGACAGAGCACATTTTTTCTCTCTCACTCTGATTATAGTGTACTGTGAAATTATTCACCCTTTGATATAGTGTTGCGCATGTATTTGATGAGGTATTAATAGCAATATACCTATTTACTAAATACTAGTTTGGGATTTTTTTTCCTGATGTTCAAATATTGAAAGGAATTTTTTGTCAGCGACCCACTGACTGGTTGGGAAAATTCCCCAGGGCTGGCATTACTTGAGTCAGTTTCTGAATTGTGTGAGTGCAGTCTTCAGGCTGCCTCTCCACTTATTTTCCAGTTGACTAGATTCCTTAAAGCAATCCCAGTGGTGAGAGACGTCCTGTAGCTTCACACACCTGATGTGGCAGACAGTTTTTCACTTTTCCCTGACATCTCTGTGAAGAGACTTGACATACCCATCATTTGATAGCTTTCTGCATTTATACACTCTGTGTAGTGTCAGCAAGAGAAGATCCTTTGAGTCTGGAACATTTATCTGAGTGGTTTTCAAAGTGTTGCAGGCTTCAGCCCTATTCAGGGACTGCTTACAGTACTTTGCTTTCTTCAGACAAGCAACAGATTGCCCCTGCACTCCCATTTTCACTTTTCTCAAACAGAAGGCTTTCTCTGAAGAGAAGAGGTACCTATTCAGCTGGAAGATCTCCATGAGAACCCTGGGAAACCAGTGCTCTTGATCTCATAGAGATCATCGACAGACACGTCTCCTCTTGGAAAGGATTGGCCGTGTTGCTTTCTGCACAAGGAAAGTGATGGGAGGCAGGACTGAATGCCCCTGTTTCCCTAGACGAAAGCTTGACTATTGTGCTCCTGTCCCAGTTATTCAGATATGTGCCTGTATAGCTTTAGTTATTCCTCTTGGGAATCATCCCACATTAACAATGTAAGCTGAGAAGGGGACGTGGTGGCGCTGTGGGCTAAACCGCAGAAGCCTGTGCTGCAAGGTCAGAAGACCAAGCAGTCGTAAGATCGAATCCATGCGACGGAGTGAGCGCCCGTCGCTTGTCCCAGCTCCCGCCAGCCTAGCGGTTCGAAAGCATGCAAACGCAAGTAGATAAATAGGGACCACCTCGGTGGGAAGGTAACAGCGTTGGTTGTCTAAGTCGCACTGGCCATGTGACCACGGAAAATTGTCTTCGGACAAAACGCTGGCTCTATGGCTTGGAAACAGGGATGAGCACCGCCCCCTAGAGTCGAACACGACTGGACAAAAATTGTCAAGGGGAACCTTTACCTTTACCTTTTAAAGCTGAGAAGCAGGTCTGCAGAGCCAGAGGCTGGGAGTGGGATCCATAGAGTCCTTTTCACTTCTGCAGTTCGATGATTTTGATTAGGAACAACAAATAAATATATTTAATTCTAGGACATTTTTTGGTGCCAGTTAAAATTGATTTAAGTAACACCCAATTTTCCATTTCATCCTCTTATTCCATTTTATATAAGTATACATATTTAGAATAATGAAGTTAAAACAACAACAAAAATTGTTATTTTTATTGCAGCTCTCTACACAAGGAGAGGCTAGCCAGGTGATTGGCCCGTTAACAGAAGGACAACGAAGAAATGTGGCTGTAGTTAACTCACTGTTCAGACTACACCAGTCAGTGCAAAAAGTAAGTGCCAAGAATGCTTATGTTGTCGCTAAGTTATTCTTAAATTCTGAATTGAATTGGAGAAGATGTGTAAATATCTCTTAAATGGATTCAGTTAATACTGCATTGAAGTCTAAATTTCAGATCTGTTTTTCTCTTCTTTGTTGGCTGTACATAATTAGTTAAAACATTACGATAGTCTACCTTGTCTTCTCCTTGGGGGTGTGTGCATAGTGGTGCCTTTCACCCATGCTGTGCTCCCTCTTGCTTTCTATGGTGATTCAGAAGACTGTATTGGATAGGGTATATATTCTTGAATCTGTATGCCTGCAGTACAGATTGCTTTGTATTTTGTGTAAGAGTTACAGAGGACTACTTAGGGCTTCAGCTGAATAATAATATAAGTTGGAACCCAAAGAACTCCTAGAGGTAAACCCGCAAATTTAGACATGCTCTGTGGGATTTCTGTTTGCCTTGCCTTTAAACAACAGACCCTCAGGCCATATTTCAAATTAGAGTGGAAAGTCGCCTCTGGTTTACTCTGTCCTGTGGAATAGGAGCAGGGCTTTTTAGAAACAGAAGCCAGAAGCCCCTTGAGTGCTCAGAGGTAATTGGATTTCTTTCTGAATACGAGCCATAGACTTTAAGAGAGAAATGCAGGACTTTCTACTTCACAGTTGTTGTTTCATTGTATATCATGCTCTATCAAGTCATAACCAACGTATAGTGACCCTAATAAGGCTTTCAAATTAAATGAGATATTTAAGGAGTGGTTTCCTCAGTCCCACCCCCTGTGAGTTTCCATGGCCAAGCAGGAATTCAAACCCAAGTTTCCTGAGTCCTAGTCTGTCACTGTCTATCTGCTTTTTTATAAAGTCCTAATCGTTCTGCTACACCACACTGGATATTATTGTGCCATTAAGAATTCTCTGTATTGGATAATTCACAGACACAAACACTGTAGAATCTAAAGCAGTTGTTTGCATTTTGGGGAATGGAGTTGGTAGAAAGAAGCAAATGCCAACACACAATTGGATAAAAGAAATTGCTAACATTCTGAATGTGAAAGCTGAGCAAGTTAGAAATAGTTATGGGAGAACAGATGGGGTTTTATGTCACAAGATGCTGGCTCCATCACTTTAGAAAATAATGTTGGCAGCAGCAGGAGGAGTTGTAGATATATTTTAAGGGCTGAAATGTTAGGTTCTGCATTGAACACCATAGAGGCTCATGATAATCAGTGCAATTAACTGTGATGCTGGTGCCATTGGATGTTGAAATGTACTGCATAATTTTTATCATGAAATAAGTTAGGGTTAACATCTTTAGAAATATATATATATATATGGATTTCATTATATGACAGAAAAAGTATAGATTCTAGGGTCCCATCATTATGTGCATGGGAACCTATAATCAAGCAGACAGGAAGAATTACACAACTAGCATACGCCTATGCTTGCAACTGACTTAGCTCTAGAGTGAGGAGAGCAGAGGCAAGCCTCTACTTTGCTGGTGGCCAATGTACAGCTGGGAAAAGGTCCACTGTTGTCAGAATGTAAACATCGTAGCCTGGAATAGATGCTACCCCTCCATATTTGATTACATCTTGTTCTGCATATCTTTTCAGGTAATATCCAGTCAAAGTGCCTTTCCAGCAGCTTCAGAGGAAATTATTAACACAGCTTTAAAGGTAATTGAATATTATAAAGTAACAGACACAGATGTTGAAACCTACTGTTCTACCTATACTGTAAACTAAACTGCAATCAGTGGCTTTTCCTGTTTACGTTCTCATTTAATTTTATGTTCTGTTGCAAAACATATGCCACGTGTATTAAGAGGACAAGCTGTGCCAACTTTTCCCAGCTTGGGCTTTTCTGGGCATATCAGATTGCAGATATGTTGGATTCTAGCTCCTATGACCTGCAGCCAACATAAATGGCAGAAGGTGATGGTACACATCTGGAGGACATCAGGTTGGAAAAGGCTACCTACTATATTATACCTTGTTCTCTTTCCACTTCAGCAGAAACAGTGTCTTTCCTGCTGCTGTTCCGATTTACCTGATATTTTTTATGTTTAACCACTCTCTGCAGAAAGTCACCCATTCTGGTATTTCAGTAGTTTGCCCAGTCCTGCCTCTTTGTGGGAGGTGGAAAGAAAATAACCCAGTTATCTTAGTCACCTGCTTTTGGAGCTCTTTAAGAGTATTAAGATGTTCTGAATCTATTCCCAGCTGACTGCATCAATCATGAGGATCTTATGCTAAATCCAATGTTAGTACTACCCACGGTAGACCCATTGAAATGAATGGTATTTGTTAGTCACCACTAAACAGTATTGGTTTTAGCCCCTTGAGTCTTACTGACATAATTCATTATAATGAGAGAATCTGGTGGTTAACCTTTCTTCTAGGGCATGGAAATTCAAAAGCAATCAGTTTCAAGTATGTTATAGGCATAATGTTAAATCAGCTACATTTGGAAATACATATATCGTAGTGTACACTTAACAATCACACTGAGTTTGATCCATAACACCTTTCAGATAAGCATTCCTTTTAGTCACAGAGGGAGTTTCAATCTAGCAAATGTTCCCACTAAAAAAAAGGGGGGGGGGAGTGAGATCATTATCACTGGGTACCACACACCACTTCCCATGGCATTCTAGAGATTGCAGCCAAGTTTTTGAGGCTTCAGGGTGAAGGATTGGCAACGTGATTCCTCCACCACCTTCTAATACTGGACCCCCATCATCATCCTTTATTTGAGCAGACGTTTCATTCTTTTTAGGGCTAGAGCCAGAAATACCTCTAAACAGTTACACTGTAGATGTAGGAAATGATCTAGCCAGTGTTCAGCACATTGAAGTCCTTCAAAGTTTAATTGAATAGAGATAAGTATATGGGGCATGAAGCAATTAACATTGGCTGGATTTTAAGGTTTGTCTTGATTTCCTTGTTACAGAAGTCAATTTAATGTGAATTGACTTCTTAAAGAGTGTATAAAATTCATAGTGAAATGCAACAATTAAAAGTCACATACACTCACCTATTTTGGAAATGACCATTATCTTTTCCAGATAAACATATTCACTTTTCCTTCCCATTTTAAGATGGAAAGATAAAAAGAGTAAACCCACAAGCTGAATGATAACCCAAAAATCATTCCTTCAAATTGTATAACACTCTAGAAATTACTTTCACATCATATTAAGCTTCCCTGAATAATCTGAAGGGCCAGAAGAAAACAGATGCTTATAACAGAAGGTATTATGCAGAAAAATAATAATATATAGGCCAGAACCCTGTTGAAATAGCCAAATGTGCCATGAAATCTCCACGCAATGGAGATTTAGCAGGGGGCCCTGTTGTTTGGCTGGTTGTGTACTGGTGGTACAACCAGTGCAACCAGTTGTGCAACAGAATCTCTGCCAAATGATGCAGATTACCTGTGTGATTGATATTGCATGTGCAGGTACCTCATGCCCTAGTTTCTGGCCCTAGTGTTTCACGTATGTCACAATGATTTTGTATCACATCATAAAACAGCGCTGTTCAGAATTAAATAGGCAGCCAGGCTTTTTTTCATAATCGAATTAAATTTTGGAACTTATGGAATGCAAATGTATTTTTGTATCATATGCTTCTCTGCTCTCACTGTTTTCCATCCTTGGTTATATTTCTTCTAGACAGTCCATGATTTGATGGGAAATGCTGTACAACCTTTACTGAACTCCGTTGGAGACTCAATAGAAGCAATCATCATCACTATGCATCAGGAAGATTTTTCTGGGTAATGGAGTCAGTACTTCAGTGTTGTCTTAAAGACACACACACACACACACACATACACACCCCTATGCCATATAAAACCAGCGATTCCTTTACTCTACTGACCTTTCAACAGAAGCACTTGTCTCAGCAATTAAATTACACTCAGTCTGTTACCAAAAAAAACAAAAAACAAAAAACAAAACAGCAGTTATTCCAACAACTGAAATGTATGCTATTCTAATTATTTGTCTGGCGAAAAAGTAATTCTGGACAACACTTTCTTTCTTTCTTTCTTTCTTTCTTTCTTTCTTTCTTTATTTATTTATTTAACTTAACTTAACTTAACTTAACTTAACTTAAAAAACAGTGTAACTCGCTGTAATGGTTCCGATTGAAAGAAATGTACTGATGCAGTTCAAAACAATGTAAACACTTCCACCGACATATATATATTACGTGACCACTGAAAAAATGTAGCAGTATAACTGGGGTTCTTTGCTCATTCATGGTCAAATCCTAAGATTCAAGCCTTTTTCTTGTGGCTACTCATGTTTAAATCACCCAGAGATAACCCTGGCCAAGGAAGAAGGGCTCCCACCTTACCTCCACTAGCTTTTGCTCCCAAATGGCAGTCTTCAAGGAGTCGCTCTCAGAAAAGGCTGTATAAGAGAATGAAGCAACCATTCAGGATCAGGTATCAATGACTACTATCATAAATTTATTTATTTATTTATTTATTTATTTATTTATTTATTTATTTAATTTTATTTTATTTAACTTAACTTAACTTAACTTAACTTAACTTAACTTAACTTAACTTAACTTAACTTAACTTAACTTATATGCCACCCACTCTACCCAAAGTTCTCTGGGTGGCTTACAACAATTAAAATACAATAAAAAAACAATGAAAATACAATGAAAATATATACTCTAAAAATTGCCATCAGGACCCATAGTTGATATTATTTCAGTTAAAAGCCTTCTGGAACAGGAAGATTTTGACCTGGCGCTGAAATGTCATCAGTTTCGGCACCAAACAAATCTCAATTGGGATGATGTTCCATAGTCTGGGGGCAGCTGCCGAAAAGGCCCTTAAAAATAGACAATCATGAGCAATAATTGGGGTACACTGATGGTTACCCCATATTACCCTCAAAAATAAGACCTAACCTGAAAATAAGCCCTAGTATGATTTTTCAGGATGTTCATAATATAAGCCCTACCCCAAAAATAAGCCCTAAATTGAGACCCTGCCCTCCACCATTGTGCAGCATTGCGCAGCAACCAGAAGATGACATGACTGTATTTGAATAAATGTAGATTGTTGTACATGAAAAAAAAATGAAACCTCTCCTGAAAATAAGCCCTACTGCGTTTTCTGGAGCAAAAAATAAATATAAGACCCTGTCTTATTTTTGGGGAAACATGGTACTTCTTTACCCACCATCCTACTTTGCAAGTATAGAACGGCATACACTGATGCCACATTGTGACAAGAGACTGGCTCAAGAAATATACTGAGATCAGGACAAGTAAAGGTCAGGACTGAGACCTTCAGTAATATCAGTCCAAAGCAGATGACATCAAAACCATTGGTATTAAGAAGATCATCAGTACTGGTATGCAGCTCTCCAGTGTCAGCACCTAAATGGAGTGTATCTTAAGCGTCAACACCAGAATCCATTTGACAGAAAAAACATAAAGTTCAGGAACGCCATAAAGGGAAGCCTCCAGCAAGACATCCTGATTCAGAAGATGCAGACCAACAATCTCAACATTGACCTATGATACCAAAGAACGTGTGGAAAGATCAGCCTCAATCTGGTAAGAAACAGCTACGAATAGAAATTAAAGCTAAAAAAGAGGAAGTTCCAGCTCAAAGGAACCCCGTGAGATGACACTGAAATTGAAAGATAAAAAATCCAGTGCTCCTCAAAAGTTATGAGTTGAGGAACATATGGAACAGTCATCCAAGTGCTGCAAAGTCAGGCAGAAACTTCTAACTCCGAGACTGAACAAGAGTCATCACCATCTAATTGTTTGATATCCCTTGACTCTGATGTAGGAGATTCAAATACTCTACCTCTATATAAAAAATGTAAGAACATATTGTGATGTGATGCTCAGAATGGCAAAATCACTGCAAACAGAAGTGTATAGACTGATCCAATATTTGAAAAAGTTCAATATAACATGGTACAACCAGTTCAAACAAAACTTGTGCAAACTTTATCAGATTTGGTGAAAGAATCTTGGGAAAAAATCGCACCTCTTCTTTGCCTCCTACTTCAAAGAGAATGGAAAATCTTTATAAGATACAGGAAGAAGGAACATCTTTCCCTGTTAAAATATCCACAATCTAATTCAATAATGGTAGAAGCTTCTCAATCATGATGTAAAGGGAAGTCACATTCTACACCTATAAACAAAGAGGTCTGAAAAATGGATCTGATAGGCAGGTGCACTTATTCCACAGCTGCTTTGGGGATCAGAGTTGCTAATTATCAGGCAGCAATGGGAGCGTGCCATCATTTCCTATGGGGAAATACTACGGCCACTTTTAATGAGCCTCCCAGAGGATAAAAGAAATCTAGCGTTAACATTTCAACAAGAGGCACTATCATTAGCATCGCAGCAGATCCGCACAGCAAGACATGCCACAGATTGCATGGCTAAAAATATTTCTGCGGCAGTTGTATTAAAGGAATATTCCTAGTTAAGATAATCAGGTATATCGGAAGAATCCAGAAGCTGGATTGAGGACTTAACCTTTTGACAGAGAAGGTCTCTTCAACACTGAAATAAATAATGAAAACCCTGTTTAAAAAGAGAAACACAGCAGAATACATGGGTTTTGCTTCTCCAATTACGCAGATACAACCCTCTGGAAAAGACAGTATACTTGCCAAAGAGAAAGAGCTCCAGTGGATAAACAAAGAACATCAGCACAACCATCCTTTATCTACTGCAAGCCACAACCAACTTGGCAAAAATACATACCTGCAAACCACCACCACTACCCCCCAAAAAGACAGCAGTTTTGACTCAAGTTCACATGAGAACAACAGTTTAAAATACCGTATTATAGAGAGGGGAGGGTCAGGGAGGCCATACATGTGCATATAGGAAATTCTTCACTCAGCAGGGGTGGAGGCCTTAGATACCCTTTCATCTGTTCCCAGAAAGATCAGGACCCCCACACCAAAAAGGGCACTGTTAACAACTGCAAAGGTGGGATTTTTGCGCACCCCCCATCCTTTGTCCCTCTAATGAGCCTGTTCAGACCAGGGGGAAGTGAAACAAACATGGAGGATATATCAGGGGTCTCCAACCAACTCTCCCTCAAACTGAAGAAGCTATTTGGATGAGTAGTGAAACGTTTCAACCTAATAAGGAAGACGTCCAGTTGCCATGAATCAACTTCCAGATAACCTCACCTGGATGACTTCACAGACTTATTATAAAGGTTACAGCTGTTCATTCTTCTCTTTCTATTTTAGCATCTTTTCTCAACACTTGACACACCATCTTCACCAATCAATGGGTCCTTACCAACACAGCCCAGTTTTGCTATCAACTTCAAAACAAATCCACCTATCGCATTTTTGGATCAAAAACACTTTCAGAAGTACTAGAAGAGGAAATTGCAACACTGTTTCAGAAAGATGCAATAGTGAAAATTCTGCAAAGCCACAAAAACAATTGGTTTTACCCCCACTATTTCACTGTGCCCAATAAGGATGGGGCATATGTCCAGTTCTGGACTTGAGAAGAGTCAACAGTTGTTGTTGTTTAGTCATTAAGTCATGTCCGACTCTTTGTGACCCCATGGACCAGAGCACGCCAGGCCCTCCTGTCTTCCTCCTGGAGTTTGGTCAAAGAGTCAACAGTTACATCACTACAAAAAAATTTTTTAATGTTGACACTGGCCAGTATACTGCTACTTTTCAAGGAAGGAAAGTGTTTTACAGTGGTGGATTTGAAAGGCACCTATTTCCACCTTTTGATAACTCCAGACTGTCATTTCCTTCCCTTTGCATTAGGACATTGAATATATGACTTCAAAGTGCTTTCATTCAGTCTCTCAACAGCACCTAGAGTTTTCACCAAATGTATGGCATGAGTGGCAGCATATCTGAGAGTGAGAGGAACAAATGTTTTCCCTTTTATAGACAATTGGTTAATTGTGGTGACAGCTCCATGGTGGCCACATCAATCATGGTTTACAACCCTGTTAATGGCAAAGGACTGTCTGATACTCCCAGTGATTCCAGATTTAATGACATGTCACCAGGGGAAGGTCCGTCATTGAAATGTAGAAAATTTTAAACTACCATTAAACTAACAGGAATTCTCTCTCAATAGTTAAGAGTACTAAGGGAGTCTGGGAAATAACCTACTAGAAGATGGTACTGCTATAAATGGGGGAGGGAATTATAAAATTGGCTGATTTTATAAATGAACTATAATTACCAGCATCCATGCATTGTGTACTATATTTTCTCTTATAAAGAAAAAGGTCTTTCTCAGCCCTCTTTGAAAGTATATTTGTCAGTGATTGTGGCCCATCAACCTGAAGATTCACAGTCATTAAAAGTAGTCAAAAGAGGCTGTTGAAAAGTTTGAATAATATATTGTTGTTGTTGTTTAGTTGTTAAGTCATGTCCGACTCTTCGTGATCCCGTGGACCAGAGCATGCCAGGCCCTCCTGTCTTCCACTGCCTCCCGGAGTTGGGTCAAATTCATGTTGGTAGTTTTGATGACACTGTCCAACCATCTCATCCTCTGTTGTCCCCTTCTCCTCTTGCCTTCACACTTTCCCAACATCAGGGGCTTTTCCAGGGAGTTTTCTTTTCTCATGAGATGGCCAAAGTACTAGAGCCCCAGCTTCAGGATCTGGCCTTCCAGTGAGCACTCAAGGTTGATTTCCAGTGAGCACTCAGGGTTGATGAATAATATATACCTAAACATAAAACCACCAACACCTCAGTGGTCTTTGTCTGTGATGTTAACGCA